CTTTTTTCTAATTCACTAACGCTCTAAAAATGAATATTTCAGCCGCAGTAAAGAATCAACGTTGGCGGATTTTGGTTCTTGACATCCATTACGATCGGTTACGATGCCTAGAGTACGGAGACCTGCACGATTTCGTCAACTTAGTGAGTTTGATAGGGGCCGTACAGTGGGACTTTGGGAAGCTGAACTTTCTTTTCGGGCAATTGCAGTTAGAGTGCAAAGAAGTGTAGACACTGTGGTTAGGTGTTGTCAGGCATGGCTTCGAGAAGGCCGTGCGCAAAGAGCAAGGGGCACTGGACGCCGCCGTAGAACAACAGACCGTGAAGATCGCCGCTTAAGATTATTGGCCTTAAGGGACCGTTTCTCCACTACCAGGTCCATTGCAAATGAATGGTTTGCAGAACGCGGAAGACCTATTGGCATGCGAAGTGTTTAGCGACGAATGAGAAGTTTTGGCTTGTTTTCACACCGGCCACACTGGGTCCTCCCTTTAACTCGAGAACACCGACGTAATCGCCTTGAGCGGTGAGGACAACGGTCACTCTGGGATCAGGAATGGAACAGTATTGTCTTTAGTGACGAGTCTCGATTTTGTTTAGGCATGCACGATGGTCGTGCCAGGGTTAGAAGGCGACGTGGTGAAAGGAGGAATCCACAGTTTTTTGTTGAAAGACATGTTCATCACACTGTTGGAGTTATGGTTTGGGGTGCTATAGCTTATGGTTCCAGGTCACCTTTAATCTTCATCAGAGGTAACATGAACGCGCAGCGTTATATCCACGAAGTTATAGAACCCCATCTTTTACCCTATCTTGACACCCTGGCAGATCCAACTTTCCAACAAGACCACATGTTGCAAGAGTCACAATAGACTTCTTTCAACATAATGATGTCACATTGTTACCATGGCCACCAAGATGGGTAGGAGATTGCTCAATTTGCAACGTCCTCCTCAGACTATAGAAGCACTTCGAGAGGAGTTGGTGGTTGCCTGGAATGAGATACCACAGGAGGACATTGACCACCTGATCAGAAGCATGTCTAGGCGCGTTGGAGAATGCGTAGCACATCAGGGTGCATCCACACATTATTAAAGGTCAAAGGGCTTTAAAGCTGTGCAATCATTTTGAAATTTTTATCATTTACTTATTATGCTTCATTAAGTACTTATACAAAATTTTATTAGAATAAAACCATTTAAACTGGGTGCTCGGATTTATATGTCACTTAGTATAGTTATACCTCTAAAAAGTAACATCATTTAGGAAGAAATTCTTATAAATTATGTTACGATAGGTTAGGTTTTCAAATAGTGACAGGCTTAAAATATTAAATCTGGTCATATGCCTAAAACGTACCTCTACATATAGGTATTCCTATTTCGTACTGGTACGATATAGAAATATCTTTATATTTTTGAAATTTATTTTATATGATTCATTTACAGAGCACTACCTAACAGAACTGCAAGTCTAGCTTTGTAAGATAGCATATTTCTTTTTTTAATCTAAATACCCGAAAATTATTAAATTTGGTTTAACAAACTTTTGTTGCTATTCAGTGATTATTGTAAGGGAGTTTGAATTGCAATTTTTTTTCCAATAACAATGCCGAAAAGGATATACTATATAATGCTTGGTCACAGGCTAACATGAATGAAGCTTTGGACAAATATCAAAGCAGAAACATGAGCTTTAATGAAATTTGTCGTACATATAATATTCCTAAACCTACGTTCAGGCGTCATTTAAAAAATCTAAATAAACACAAAACTATTGGAAGACCGAAAGACCTAACGGCTGCAATGGAGGAAGAATTGGTGCAACATATTCTGGAACTGGATTCATGTTTGTTTGGGCTACAATTAAAGATTTGCGTCGCTTAGCCTACCAACTTGCCGAGAAATATAATCTTCATCATCGATTTAATAAGGAAAAACAATTGGCGGGTTGGATATGGTATTATAAATTTATGAAAGACCATCCAGAAATCTCGTTAAGAAGACCTGAGCCGACGTCAATGGCGCGTTGCACAGGATTTAGTAAGCAAAGAGTTACGGATTTTTTGACAAATATGAAAAAATACTTGATGAGCATAAATTTCTACCCCATCGAATCGTAAACGTTGACGAGACTGGGTTGAGCACTGTCCACAAACTATCAAACGTTCTAGCCAAAAAAGGAAAGCAACAAGTAGGCGCTGTAACCAGTGGAGAAAGAGGTTCAAATACTACTTGTGTTTGTTGTATGAACGCCGCCGGAGTGACCTTAGAAAAATAGAATATTTTGTATGTGCACCGTTGCTTTCTGTGTTTCGCAGGCATCGGCCTCACACCCTTTAATCTACCCTCATTACTGTTATGCTTTGACCGAATATTACCCCCACAAAGGGATCACACGCTACGCAATTATCGGTAGAATCAAATTGCCCTGTGTGTGATATGACAGCATCGGATTGCCGCAAGCTTGTGAAATGGTGTCATCTGTAGGTGAACGGGATGCAAACAATCTATATTACATACCGATGTGACTAGATATTAATGTACATCGGCAGCGAATTCGAATAGATTAGGAGCCAAGCCTATATGTTTACATCGCTTTATTTGTCGCCAAAGTTTCGTGGTTTTAATGTATACTTTTGACTCATTGGTCTACCAATACCTACCAATGCGACAGCATTGTATCAACATAATAAAATGTACCTTCATTAGTCTCGGCAAATTATGTAGGAATTAGTACGTCTTGAAATCGTCTAACACGATAATTATCTGCAGTCACCTGCTTTTCTAAAAAATAATCACTTAAGCTTCTAATTTGAAGACAAAGAATGGACTGACACTTGCACTTTAATCCTCACTTCAGACTATGAGAATGAGGAGACAAAATATATTCGACTGGCTCATTCTATCTGGTTTGAATTCGGTGGTTCAAGCTAACAGCGATTTAGGGAGACCCTTTCATTTAGCGTCTGTTGTTTCAATTATTCTCCCAGATTGAGTAGCCAATTCATCGAATACTTATAAAATAAAAACAATGTGACAAGTTCCTGGCAAAATTTCAACGGGGTGAATTTTTGGGCGGTGCTAGAAAAAAAGGTTCACTTAAATAATATAAGCATATCAAAATCTAGCGAAATCAAGAGTCATATGCCACGCGCGAAACAAAAAGATTCATCAACTCACGCTGTTACGAGATAGGAGTACTACTACTTACTATTTAAAAAATGTAATGTTGAACGTCACTTATCTTACATTGAATAATTAAGCAAAGTTTCGTTGAAGAGACATGTTGGTATGATGTAAAATCAAATGCCGTATTTGAATGCAACAGATGTTTTAAAAGGTCAGTAACGTAGAAAATATGTTTACCCTTCTTCTGCAAGGGTCATAATATGCCAGCTCCTAAGCCGCCGACAACTCCATCCAATTAAGACCTAAAATTTTATGAAAGTTCAGCATTCTTGGTAAGGCTAACCAGCAAAATGAAAAAATTGCATCCTTGCTTGATTTCGATGGGATATGACGGTTTTCAGAAATACAGTAGTACTGTTTTATCCATTCAAATAATGATATATAATCATATTTTTGTATTATATACGCACCTAAAAAATTTGATGCTTGTTCTCGGATACAATGAGCCGTATTCATAAAACAGAAGCATATCCTTGGAAGCATAAGGTAAAAGTATAAGGTCTTGCTTCGGAGAAAAAGGTAGAAGTACAAGCATATCCTTGTTTTCATATTCATAATGATTACCTTATACTCGCGAGGATATCCTCCAAGAAGAAGTAAAAGGTTGACTGGTATTTGTATCTTGAGCGACATGTCCTGACTTGTTCCAGCTTGTAGTTGACATGGGAGTTCGTTCACTCAGCATCACTGACAGTTGTACTCCGGAGCTTACACAGACCGTTCCGTATTTTTACTGGATACAGTTTTTCATCAAATTAATAGGCATGTCGTCCTCAAGTGATGAAACTATAGAAAATAATGGCAACGACCTGCAGTTCATCGCAGATGCAAAAGTCACAAGTTAAAAAAATAAATGAGAAAGGACGATGCCTTGAAGAAGATATTGAAAAAATACGAATCAACATTTGGTAAACCATTAGATACTAAAGGCTTATTAAAAAAAATCAACAACATGAAACCAAGATTGAAGAAAGAAACGGATCTAAAAAAATTGACAATACATCAATTAAATTGTTAGACTGGGAGAAAGTTGCTGAAAGCTATAGAAGGTGACTGTAATCCTACAAATGGGAAAATTAGAGGTGCCATTCAGGTTGGCAGTGTTCAAGAAGAAGGAACTGAACTATATACCGACCGCCGTGAGTAGAGTTAGTATTACAGCGCCACAAATTCAGAAGACATTGCCACCGAAAAGAAAATTAGCAACAGAGAAATACGAAACTGAGGAAACCAAAGGCTAAACTACAATAGAACTGAAACGTTTAGTGCTATTACAGCAGTACCAAACAAGTATTTTACAACAAGAGTATTATAAACGAAATTAGAAATGATACAGCGTCAGAAGCCACCTGTAACTTATGATGTTCACGAAAATAAAACTCATTATATACTTTAATCAGTAAAACTATTTATTATAATACTCAAGTTTCTTCTTATTTGTTGACCTAGTTGGTGGAGAGGAGGTTCGTCATCCTCATCTTCATCTGGGTCTTGTTCAACTAACTCAAAGTCAGGATCACTCAAGCTCTTCGCAACATTATGGAGTACAATACAAGCAATAATTATTTTGGACACATTTTCCAACTTTATGCGGCACATATTGTAGGATAGGAAACCGGCGTTTCAGTTGGCCGAAACATCCTTCAACTATAACTCTTTCTTATTTCAATAGCTTATTATAATTTATTTCTGCACCTGGAGTAGGATTTCTGAAGAGAGTCTTAAGGCATGGCTCAATACATTAACCGTCATCGCCAAGTAGTCCAACATTTGCTTTATTTATTAGTTGTGATTTAGTCTGTGAATTTCTCTATATTCTGGAATCATGCACTGATCCAGGCCAACTGACATCAACACTTGTGAACATCTCTCTGGTATCACAAGCGGCTTGCACATTTAAAGTAGGTGTCCCTTTTCGGTTGATACGAGAATACTCATCTCCATGGCGATTTGGTTTCAGGATTCCTATATGTGTACAATCGATTACACCAATTGCTGTCGGAAATTTATACATGCTTTGCCATATCCGCTTGGCCTCCATCAGTTCATGGTTGGTAGTTGGAAACTTGATCCATTCGTTCGACAGTCCGAGATACCGTTGCTTGACTAACACCAACTTCCTGACCAGTACCTTGTTGACATCCAGGGTCACCGATATAACGTAAACATATCTTCATTTTATGAATACATGAAAGAGCTCCTTATCGAGTTTCCTCATTCTCAACTAAAAATCTGTCCGCAAGCCTTCGTACATTTGCTTCGTCTAACTGATATAATTTTTTGAAGGTAAACGTGGTTTGTGCGTTTTAACATCCCTAATATCCACAATTCCGCCATCATCGTTTGACCACCCTTTTACTGATTTCACTGCTTTAAAGGATATGCTTATACTCAAACAGCAAAAGCAAATACTTCAAATTATTATAAATACCATCTGGAGGATTCCCTTCAAAATTTTCAAGTACAAGGATATCCTTGGTTTTATAAATACGAATCATTGTGGATCATCGTTACCCTTTTACACTATGTCAGATTGAATTCACAACCGTGACTAAAACGACGCCACCAACTAACTGCATCCGACTATCCCACTTTAAAGCTGTCCAGTTAACTAGGTACACATTTAAAGTAACATAAGCCCAATCTACTTAATTGCGAGCTTAAATGCGTCAAGTTATTAGAGGCTGTAACAGCATTACTAAATAATGGTCCCGGATAGGTAAGTAAATGGAGCAGCTAGGAAAGTGAATTCCGGACTTTTCCGGTTGCACGTTCCGGATGTAATGTATATGTTACCTCAAACCGAAAACGCTCATTAAGCGAGAAAAACATCTCACCGCGCGTTGTGTTCACTGTAAAACATAGACATCGCAAACGTTGTGGTATAGGTCTTATGAAAACCCTTACGACGCGAGGTAACAATCACAAAAATGCCACATAGCGGAATTGCTGCGATGGCTGTCATGCTATAGAGCCGCAATGAGTTGTGCCAATAACAAAACAATAATAATAATAATAAATGGCCTTCATTTTACCTGGCGGGTTTCATTAGCGCAAGCTGTTTTTCAGAACGAACCAGGGCTAAAAGGAAATTCAAGAACATGGAAATATGAAAAAATACACAGAAGATAATAAGAAAATTTAAAGCAGAACGCAATATTTTTTTTACAGAATCGTAGCCTACACAAGGTATAATGACCAAAAGAGAAACGTGCATCAACAGAGTACGTAGCATAATCAAAAACCATGCTTTGAAGTAACTTTAAAAAAAATATTTGCACTGGTTGGCTATGCTGCTAGATCAAAAATGCCAAAGCATCTGTAGTACTTATTCATGTAACGATCTTACACTTTTTGAGACCAAATTTGTTAACGTTTTCGATGTATCATCAACGCAGTTAAAAGCTCGCTCAGTATCTACCTTATTATCTAGGAGTCCGCAAGGTTTTATAATGTGTTACTGTATATTAAGTGCAAGCATCGCTCAAAGAACATAAAACGCAACTCAAAATATCACCGTAATAGTTCATTTAAGAGCAGGCACTACCTATTTTTTTCACTACAAAACTGTAATTTGTAATACAAGTAACTAATTTAGGTACATTGTTGTTGTTTAATGGCGAAGGTGAAGCATTAAATAACCAGGCTGATGTACGATTGCACTAACATGACATTAAGCATTAAATTTTAATATTAATTTCTGAGTTATCATGCAACTTTCAAAGTTTCCATTGCCGTTTCCTATTTGTCAATAATTGCAGTAATTTATGTTATTCGCAAAACAGTTATAGTGCGCACTATTTGCTGTCTGTCTCCGATCATACCACTGACCCCCCCCCCCCCTCCCAGTGCGTATTGCCGACCGGGCTTTCCTGAAATGCGCCACTGGTCCGTCAAAAAGTATTTTTTATCAAATTCTCCTACTTCAAGCTGACCGCATAAGCAACCAGTCTTACGTTATCATCTATGACCTTACAGTTAAATCAAAGTTGACGGATGCAATGCTGCCAGTGTTTAGTAGAAAATACCAGTACGGCATCCATTGAATATGTGTGCATTATACTCGTAGATATATCTAAGAGATTTGGAACTTGGTGGTAAATTCGCCTGGGGAGAGTCATGACCCCTCTGGATCAGCGCCTGGTCATATGAGTATATGAATATGACGTATAACAACTCTCGATTCCTTTTTAAAGTTGGTATCGGTGCTCTTTTGAATCATCATTCTGCAAATGAAGATAAACGAGGTACTCATATATTCAGAAACGAAAGGAGATGCTCGAAAAAAGCATGACAAACGATATCAGATTAATTTTTATCTTACCTTTCGAGCACGGCTTCTACTCTCGACAGCCCTCATCCCGCATGAGTGATTTTCCCTGAAATGAGTAGGCAAATGCAGATTGCCCAGCATAAATCAGTGCACCGACTTCCTCTGAATATAATGGAAGTGCTGGGGGGTGACGAAGCGCTGCTGTTTTCAGGCTGAGCATGAAACGAATTTATGTTTGTACATGTATTTTCAGCAGTCAGGTATTTATTATCTACATTAAGGGACTCACATAAAAAATAAGTGGCAGGAGCTGCCGGGGCAAAATTTGGCACGAACGCGTCCCATCAGAAGCAAGGTGGGCTGTCTGTTTAGACCTGTGTCCCAACAAACAATAATTATCACCCCTACTATATTTATTATCTACATTAAGGGACTCACATAAAAAATAAGTGGCAGGAGCTGCCGGGGCAAAATTTGGCACGAACGCGTCCCATCAGAAGCAAGGTGGGCTGTCTGTTCAGACCTGCCTCCCAACAAACAATAATTATCACCCCTACTAGGTTTATACAGGGTGGCGCATCGAAAACGAAACAGATGCATTTACTGGCAGCTCAGTTTTTTTTGGAAAAACGCTCAGACGCTTCGATTTTGTTTTCGAGGGGGACACAAGTTTGGCAAATAATCACGTTAACACGTGCAGCCCCCTGGGTGGGGGTGACACCAACCCTAAAATCTTAAATGGAAAGGGGGGGTCGAGTGATACCTTATGCTAAGGGTCTTTCAATTCCCTTTATAATGATGTAAAATACATGAGCTTCAGTTCAGTAGTTTTGAAAATTTATTGATCTAAAGACTAAAGTATTCTTTAATAGGTACATCAGACTAGTTTCTACTACTTTCAGAAGACATTTGACTAAAAGAATTTATTTAATAAGTAAATGCTTTTCTTCACTACGCCCATGGTTTGTTTATCATTTTGTTGTTGAAAATAGCTATTGGAGCGTTTTTGTGGCAAAAAAAGTTATTTCATGAAGAAAGATAAGTAAATATCTCGTACTTTTTTTAAATAGGTCTTCAGTACATAGTTTGCGATTGATTTGACCAAACTTTGTTGCTAAAATAACTTGTAACGCTTTATTACATAAATTAACCATGGTATATTCCACAGCAGAAAGAGCTGAAATTATCAATAATTTTCGTAAATAATCAGTGCGCTAATAGAAGAGCAGAAATATTTAATGAGCGACATGAGAATAGTAACGTGCATCGAAAATATGTTCTAGAACTTGTAGCTAAATTTCGGGAAACTGGGTCAGTCGCCAATAAAAAACGCAACATTGAAAATCCCATTAGGAACGAAGCAATAGAAGTGCGGGCTTTAGGTAGATCCTACGTTAAGTACCGGCAAATTGGAGACTGTGTGTAGAGTTAGTCGACGTCCTGTCCAACGCATTCTAAAGGCCCATAGTTTTCATCCGTATAAAATTCACCTGGTACAAGAACTTAATGAAGACGATTTTGATCGGCGATTACAATTTTGTGAAGATATGAGTGAATGGATTATAAGCGATGAACATTTCCTATTCAACACTTGCTTTTCCGACGAATGTTCCTTTATCTTAAATGGCGTAGTAAATCGTCATAACTGCCGATATTGGTCCGAATGGCCCCAAGATCGCCAGATTTATCACCATTGGATTTCTTTATGTGGGTTCATTTAAAAATCAAAATCTATGCTACTCAGCCAACATCATTAGAAGACCTGCGACAAAGAATTGTGAATGAGTGCCTTCAAATTACTCCTAAAATATTGCAAAATGTGCGGCAACGTTTTGAGCAAAATCTTCATTATTGTCATGGTGGCCATTTTCAACATTTACTTACCTAACGGGTCAGTTCATTCTTCATTTTTAAATTATTTTGCTGCCAAATGTATTGATCTCCTCTAATGATGATGTAGTCGTATTAGTTTTATTTAAGCTTTAAATCAACAAATCTTCAAAACTACTGAACTGAAGTACATTAATTTTATATCATTATAAAGAGAATTGAAAGACCTTTAAAATAAGGTATCACTCGACCCCCCTTTCCATTTAAGATTTTGGGGGTGGTGTCACCCCCGCTTAGGGGGCTGCACGTGCTAACGTGATTTTCTGTCAAACTTGTGTCCCCCTCGAAAACAAAACCTGCGGGTCTGAGCGTTTTTTCAAAAAAAAAACTGAGCTGACAGAAAATGCATCTGTTTCGTTTTCGATGCGCCACCTTGTATATGTTGGTATACTCGTCCTCATTCCTCACACAGCATTGTATGCTGCAAGAGTATTGGCGAAACATTGCTAGAATACTTATACAAGCGGAATGGCATATCCACAACACTTTACCAGTCACTGAGGAGGTTAGAAACAAGAAAAGAATAAGGGGTGCAGGTAACATACAACAAATGCAGAAACAAACTGTTAAGGAGGTTTCACATCAGTGCAATGTTGGGTTTTACCAAACTATACAACCACAGTTACACGAACCAGTAGTAAAGAATACTCGGTGTTACACCCAGAAAAAAATAATTCTTTCAACTTTTTTTTTTTCGCAATGAGGTAGTCTTATATCAAGATTGAAAGCAGAATAAAATTTTATTGACAAGTAGTAAGGTTCCGTTTTTTTTCTCCCCGAAAGTTCTTTGGATTTTGAAACTTCCTAAGCGACATTTTGTTAGCTACGCAAATACGCCAATTTGCCGCCAATTAAGGGACCTTGTGTCTCTCACCGTTTCTGAGACCCTTATGGAATTTGAAACATCCGGTATACTCTGCGAACACGTTGTAATTTGGAGTTTGCATCAACGAACTATTGTTACTGAATTTGCTGGTATGTATACTTATACTTTTCTTTAATGTCCCCTTCCCGTTTGATTTTTTTAACGGATCAATTCAAAAAATTTAAACTTTATGTAATGCAATTGATGCATGGATGCCATATTTTAGAGTAAAATTGACAGATGAATAATGTCTTGAATGAATAGAGGCCCCACAATATTATTTCCCAATATCCCAGCCCAAACGTTAATTTTTTCTGGATATTGAGTATGAGTTTCCCGGAAGACATGAGGATTGGTGTCACTCCAATAACGACAATTTTATCTATGCACATTACCGTTGAGAAAAAATCTACATTCATCACTAAAACAAATGTTTTGGATATAGGTAGGATGCCGTGCAACGGTTTCCGTCATAGTCTCGCAGAATTCTGTGCTTCGATCAGGGTCATCTTCAGTTAGCTAATGTACCATTTGAATTTTGTATGGGTGATACTTATTCTTTTTCAAAAGTCTTCATACAGTAGAAGGACAAACCTCACATACATTCGCGATTGCGGTAGTAGACTGTTGGGGATTTACTATGATCTCATCAATTATTTGAACTTGCTTTTCTTCCGGGATGGCCGGATGACCTGGAGGCTTTTTGTTGTTTACACTACCAGTAGCTGTAAATTTAGATACAAGTTTCCTTAAATATTTTCTACAAAAGGGACGATTCGGGAAACGATCATTAAAAATCCTTTCGGTCTTGTGAAAGAAAAATAGTTCAAACAGTATCTAGCACTAAAACCGAAAACTAAATAAGAATATTTTAACTGTGCAATGATGTTTGTTTCCGTACTGATATTCTTATCACTGTCAACAAAAATAACAAAACAAGTTTTTATCGCTGTTACTGTGGATAGGGCAGGGAATTACAATCATTTGTAGAGATATGCATATTAGTATGTTTGTGTTCAAGTAATTATTAAATGTACCACCATTTTGTAGTGAGTAAAGGTATTGACTTTATATGCGAGGGTTATAATGTACTCGTCAGCAGCTTTAAAATGGTGTGCCACAAGACCCCCGTTTTCATATAATTTTTTTCCAAGATGGCGTCCAGCGGCCATCTTGACATTCTTCATCTGTCAATTTTACTCTAAAATATGGTATCCACGCATCAATTTCATTATCGATCAAAAAATCAAAGGGGAGATGGCATTAAAGAGAAGCACTGGATGTGTATAATAGAAGAGCCTGATAGATAAAACTATTTAACATGATCTATTTCTTTGGGGTAAGTAAATTAATCTGAGAGTTTTGGTACCTAGCGATATAATCATAATACTTGTACAACATTCAATTTTTGTTTTTATGTTGGTTTGTTGTACAATAATGCTTTTACTATATAATTTTTGTAAATCTTTTCCTAGAAAATCAAATTCAGATGGGTATAATATCAGCTTAAGGTAAATTACATTCAGACAAGAGTTTTGTGCTGTTCCAAGTTAATCTATTAAAAATTACTAGCCTTATGTTATTAATTAATGACTACCTAAAAAACTGTTTAAACATAATTTGGTCTAGGTTGCCACCCGAAGACCTCTTAATTCATGATAAGTGGAGTTTAAAAAACGTGATTATAAAAAAATAGATTTGGAAAATTCCTTTCAGGAATGCAAGGTTTTCGCCTCGTCTAACCGCATCCTAGCATTCTCTCTACGAATGTGTCAGCCTAGTTTGCACAGTGAGAGCTGCAAATTCAGGAGAAGGCTCTCCTAGCTTACACTCTTGAATTGTGGAATTTACTAGTTTCTACCTAACTGTCTGAGCTAGAAATGCATTATATTCAACGTTCACCCAACATCATGCACAGTCAGTTATTCCCAACTGCACTACTGGAGCAGAGCAGCATTGCTAACATGCATCATTACCCAGAATTTCATTACTGCCATAAACATCCACGCACGAGCATCACAAGATTCAGTTATGCCGGAAACATACACTCCTTCATCCCATAATTCGAATTCTACTCTAATATTCGCGTTACGCTGGCTTTAATAATAATATGGTTATTCCGAATGCATGCGAAGTTTTTGATCCTCGCTTATGCTCCGCAACCTTGGATCATCTCAACTAGTATAGTGGTGCTATACATACCGTCGGACATCTGACAATACCTGCTATCTGACATGTTTGCCCATTGCGCATCCACTTTTTCTTATCCATTCTGGAAACTACATATACAAATTTGCTGAATATCAAAAATGAGAGAGATAAGAAATAATTATATTCACTGTACACTGTCGAATTACAAGCCATATACATGCTAACAGTAATTACACACAACGCGGACGCGGTGATGATTTCCCGTAATTCTCCTCAGTTTTTCGTAACTGATAACTTTGAACATAACCTCTCTTCAGAAAGCACAACATAAAAATAACCCATCGGGCACAGCCAATAGACATAGGTACTTCATTGGCAGCATATTCAGACTAACACAAGAATGTCACTAGCTGATCAGCTGTTCAGGTACTCGTGAAATAGGGTGAATACCGCGTACGTGAGCGATGAATTAACTTCATTTGACCTTAAAGTGAAATGATAAATGTCTAATTATAGCCTAATGTCATCGTTCATGTATGGGGTATTTCAAATTGCCAAGATTCTCTAATAACATGGTTATTATTCTCAATATGTGTATGCAATGTACGCTGTCAGCAGATGTACCAATTCACCTGTAATATCAAGCTATTAAAGTCTTGCTAGCAACATTTATACAGTGTGGTCGTGTCAGGTCTTTCGTTGCAAACTGTTGAATATAGTAACTAATTTCACGTATTTCAAAACGTTAAGCAATGAAAGCTAGAAGACAAAGGATTGATTGACAGCAGAGTGACATCCCAGCCAGCAAGGACAGTATATTTCACGTGAAATTAACGTACCTATTTACGAAGTATTCAAGGCCCATTTCGACGTGAAAATCCGTTGAATTTATGGGCGAAATATTAGATAGAATCGACGTCATTTTCTGACGACGATTTCACGTGATCTACACACGTCATCTTCGTGCCTCTGTTCGTCGTGGAAAGTCCGTTAATTTATGGGCGAAGTGTGAGATAGAATCGACGTCACTCTCTGACGACGATATCACTGGATGAAGGTGGTGAATAGCATTTGGATCAAAAATTGAGTTCAATATATTTGGCGAAGTAGTACTCTGTCCGGAAAACAGGTTGGTCCTACTGTGTACAATAACTGATATTGTTAACAATCAGTTTTCCAGACAGAATATCACTTATAAGCGTCAACAAACATGTACTGAAATCATTTTAACCCAAATGTGACTTACCACCATTACCCACTCAACCCTTCAAATGTTATTGTACTAAAGAAGGCCACTGTGGTGGAAGAAATGTTTACAATATAGTATTTAAACATTCGTTTTCGGCATTTTTCACCGCCAGCGATTTTCAAAAACCACAAAGCGTTTTCATCATTGGCATAGTACACACCTTGTCTGAAAATTTTATAATGAGTGCTACATCCTATAACACAACTCCAAGGAGGTAGTTTAGACAAAAGTACGTGTACCGTATGATCGAAACGGAATCTAGGAAAATACCTTTGTTTTCTAAGAACTATGGTATTATCAAGTTTCATCGTGATTTGCTTTAGACGTAGATATAAGCAATTATTGACAATGATCTGTATTTTACTATTCTTGCAATATCTTTTATATTGATCTATTGATTGACGTCGGTTTGGTATCATTATACCTGTAATAAAAAACCTCCACCACCGTCTTCAGACAAAACGCAAACAACAAATTGTTGCATCTATGAATTACTGTCACTGTGTTCTTATCTTAAAATTTCATATACATAGTAGTTTTGGTAAATACTAGATATTTGGCGTAATTTACTTGGAGCAATAAAAATTCCTACCTCTATCACTCCACCACACCAGTTAGTAATGACACATCCGAGGCAACTGCATTTTCTAAGAGCATCCTGCATGACTGTGGCGAATATTTCACGCGTCCCGTAGAGGGACCTTAATTTAGCGAACGAGTCCCCTGTTCCTGCGGGACTTGTTAGTCCGCCACCCAGCGAGTTCTCCAAATAAATTTCCCGTCTTTAGGCGGCTCGTTTTTGTCGGATCCGTCTGTTTTCCTCTCTGCAAATGAGGCTTGTTGCGGACGTACCAACAATTTGTAGGCTTAAAACGGATTTCCGCTTCTCAAGTCTGATTCGTAAATATCCAGTTTGCAGGTTACCGTCATTAAACCAAAGGGGCTTAAGTTTGTCTCCCGGATTTATCAATAATACTAATTTTCATTCTTATTAACTAGGAAATGCATGTAGACAACCTAGGTATGTAGTTTTTGTTTGCCTATCCTTTTATATAAAATAAGGTGGAAGATGAATTTCAATAATGTTTTGGCTCCTTGGCTCCTAGTCTCTTTCCACATTTCAAAGTTACATACGTACAAACCGAAAATCCTCCGTAAAAATGCGCTTTAAATAGGTATCATTATCAATATAGGTGTTTAACTCAAATAATGAACTTTGCCAAATTTCGGAGTTATTGAGGTGCTGACAGAAATTTTACTGCAACTATAAGTAATTAGATATCCAACATCGTAAATATTTCAAAATGTTGACCTCTCCAAAGTATTTATCTCTTTAGAAGATCGGAAACGTGTAAACCTTATGAAAATTGAGTTTAGGAACACTCTACAACTCCTTTGTTTTTATTCATAACTCCTCCGCCACATTGCAAGCTTTTGTTATCTATATATCAGATGGATTTTTACCCTTCAGTACACATGATTTTAACGTAAAGACTATCTTCATTTCAAACACCATCAAACAATTCTGTAAACAATTAAAAACCACATAAACTACTTAGGGACCTAGGGACATTTGCATGCACTGGTAACTTGTGAGTTACTATTTTACCAAAATTGCAGAAAATTAAAAATTCAACTGATTGATTTCCATGCAAGGATCCGGCAGTCTTAGAAAATAACAGGGAGAATCGGCTGTTTTGTTGGTGCGTATATGAATCTGATTAACATTCCTCTGGCTGTAAAACGGGTATTATGTATCCATCGAATAAAGAGACCAAACTTTAACATATTCACGTATACTCCACGGGATCGCGCTCCAGAACGCCGAGCACGTTACAGGGCCGTACTAAGAATAAATGATTTGTGGTTCTACGACACGATCAAAAAGTATGCAAAATTATTACAGGCATGTATAGGGTCCAAACGTAAAGCTTGGAATTAATATATTTTTTTTAATTTAACTGTCATGCCAAAAAAACAACGGTCTATTATTGTTTTCAGTACAAGTGTTTTATCAAGAAATTATACTCGAAATGTATTTTGAGGTCAGAAAATTTGAAACATTTTTCTTCTGCTGCAACATATTTTCTATGTCTGCCCAAATGAGCTCAATTGGATTGAGCTCACAATGGTAAGGAGGCAGTCGTAAAACAGTTCTATTTTGTTTTTGGCCATTTCATCAATTATGTTCAGGTTATATTTATTTTTATGCGTCTTGACAAACAATTCTGCCTTAACCGTTGTATCATAATAATCAGTATTTTCATTATTAAACCATCCTTGAATTTCTGATTGTTTTGTTAACGTTGTTGGAATTTTCTCTAATTTTGTCGTGTGGAATGAAGCATTATCTAATACTATAACCGAATTATCTTCAAGCTTCGGTAGAAAAAATAATTCATTTTGGACACTTTGAAACCGCTCTTATTGAAAGCATTGAAAACCCAACTCGATATAGTTTAAGCATGTACAAAAACTAAAATAAAATATAATTTTTGTTGAAATTCCTCGTCTTACAAATACTGAAAAATATGTAGGTGTCATCTTTGCAGACAATGTCCTGAACAGTTGAGTCACTCCTTGCTTGCATTTCGTATTTATAAATGTTGATAATTGTTTGTTTTTCGCTAACGCTAAAATGAAGCCTTTTAGCTCTTTTTTTAGGCAGTGTTCAGCTAATATCAGCAACTTCATCAACTGTATCCGTATCAGACATTTTGAGCTCTACGAAATTAAACTGACAAACCTGATAAGCACACAGTAATACCAGTATAAATCTGATGCCAACTCTGTACTGTACGGCCAGCCACGACAGCCGGCATGCGCGGTCGTATCGCCTCCCACTCCACCCTCTGGTTTGTCATTGGTTGTGTGTTAGGGCTCGACCTATTCTGCCCAATAACAGTTAGGCTCTGTTGAAATATATCAGTGTACTGATCACGGAATAATCACGTGATGATCTCTGTTTTGGTTTAGTCTCTTTCTTCGATACATACATAATAGAACAACAGTTATAACATACTCAACTGTTGTTGTACAGGATAATGTCATGACGTGTCATATAACGTTGCTGATTACGAATTAGGCACATAGAGTAATAAAGCTAGTTGTCGGTAGACATCGGCACCGGCGCATAACAAAGCAGTGCGTCGGATTGCTTTCACAAGTAACGTAAACAGAAAGGCCGTGCAACATAATATTGTTCGGGGGAAGTGCCTGGGGCGACCACCACACGAGTTTTCCTGTTTACATTTTGTATAGAGGGTCCTCTTTAATTGTTCAATTGAATTAACAAATATGGAAGCATTTTGCACCAACTTGTTCATTTTATGTTTCTAAACATCAACGCAAGCAATTTGAAAACTACGTTTTCCACCTGCAGTCTGCACAGGTGCTTTCACGAATGCGGATACTAGATATCCGGTCTCAGGTACCTCTTGGTAATTTCCCCCCAAGAAAAAAAAAGTAGTAGAAGTAGTAGCAGCGGGGAGGCGAAGCCTGACAACTAGGCACCCTTTGACCCTTTTTGTCGACCCCGTAATATCAGCACTATACTACTCCACAAGCCATCTACTGGTAACTGATTATTGAACAAACCAGCTCCAGCGACGCGATGTACCTATCGATAACTTTGTGGTGTATGGTATAGACAACACAACGTCCATTGCTGATAATTTAGTTCGGAGGTGCAGATTCGAACCCACGAGCCTCATGTCGTTCGATTGCCAACTCGACGCGCTAACCACTCGGCTATCGAAGCCCCTTGAGGCTTCTGACTCCCTTTTTATATGATGATTTCAAATGCTGCTCCTAATCTACATTCCGTGGTATAGCATTTTAAAAAGTTTGCGGTCCCTCCTGCTACCGACCCCGGTGGACGCTTAACTAAGTATACAAATGCCTGATTTCAGGTAGCAGAAGCATTTCCGGCCGCAGTAGAAAGTAGAGTTCCTTCGTTAAACAAATAGAGGAGTATAAAAGTAAACGGAGAGCAGCTCAACTTCATTACGGATTAATTATTAAAATCCCGACTGGGTTAGGAATTGAACTACAGAAAAAAGACTGCAAAAGGTTACAAGCGGACGGTCGGGCTCTGAATACAATTACGTTCACGACAGAAACAAAAGCAGAGCAAGTTTAATAGAGGATACTTTCGCTCCGGATATAGCCTTTGCAACTCAATGGGATTGTTAAGTTTTTTAGAATAACACCGAACGAGATGTGGGGTAACAGAGTCTAGAATCAAATACGAGTAAGGTCCATGTTTAATTATAAAAATCAGTCATTGTAAAATTGCTGAACTGTTCTGAATGACATTTGGTGCAGACATACATATATTATAGTCTGGAATATCACTTACGTTATTTTGCCTAAAAATTATGGAAGCAAGGGTAACGGGTGTATAGGGGTAAGATGTTGAAGTTCAATGGGACTTGAGATTCTAGAGACAGGCATATTTATGGCCAGCTGCACTGACCATTTGATGACCATACCTTACACTACGTCCACGCAAGCGGAATCGCGGCTCTTAAGAAGTAAAACAGAAACAGGTCGCATCGCGTGAAATAACCTATCACATACTCAAAGGTGTAGTCGATATTGAGTAGAATTGGTACAGGTGGCAGCTACGCAATGTGGATGTGCGTATTTTTTTATATACAGGGTGACTTTGAAGTTGAGTCATTAATTTTCAGATAATGATTGTAGAAGGAAGATAAACCAGAATATGTGTGTAAAAATAAAAAAAAAATTAAAAAAAAAAAATTTACCTTGTTTTATAAAGTATCCTCCCGACAAGTATTTCAGTGCGGACCTGTATTTGATCGTGAGGTCTTGGAGCACCGGCATGCAGTCCTCTGTGTGGTCTTAAGTCACCTGATTCACGAGCCCGTTGTACTACATTAACAAAGGCACGAGGGGTTGGTTGCACTCGATTGGGAAACCGATCCGCATAAACATGTGCCATTTTTTATTTCGTTTGAGCCACGCAACAGACACTATTCACACGCTAACCGACTGACACTGACTGTATGTATAACTGAACTGAATAAAATAATTGTAAAAACATCGTTCCAAATTCTTTCGCTTTTTTGTTTCCGATGCGATGAACCGGTAAGGCGGATTATATCCGCTGTTGCCAAACACGAGCTCATGATATTATTATTGAGACAGGGCGGTACTCAAACTTCCAAAGGGCTATAACTTTGTTACTTTAATTTTACCAGAAAAATGGTAACGGAAAAAACATTTCTTTTGATCAGATCTACTCACTGTTAAAATAAATGACTCAACTTCGAGGTCACCCTGT